ACATTAAGTGTCATTATTGTGTAATATAGTTGTTATCGTATAGGAAATTGAGTAGCGAAATTCTAGTCTGGAATTCGTTGAAAACAAAAATTTACTATAAATAGTAAATTCAATAGGTAATAATAGTTCTGGGGGTTTTATTATTAACGTTCTTATTATAATCTTACTAATATTATAAATGCGAATGTTTGGATGGATGTGTGAAGGTATCTCTGAAATAGCGCAACGGATTTTGATGAAATTTGCCACAAATGTAGACCATAGTCTGGAAGAACACATAGGCTATTTATGAAGTTTTTATAAATTCCGCACGGACGGAGTCACGGGCGACAGGCTAGTCTTACATAAAAAATTATCGTGTCAAAATGTTAGTTACCATACTCTTTTGAAACTGCTTGACCGATAGAATCGGATACTATTTTTTTAAACGCGCGGACGGAGTCGCAGGCGTCAGCTAGTTAATGTATAAAATTACGAATTATAGAGATATGTCCGTAATTCAAATATATTTCAACAGTTAACTAAAAGTGAAGACCTTCTCAATTTAGAAACATATAAACTCTACTTGGAAAAGTCGTAAAAAGGGACCCTTAGATTCAAGTTAGACGCCCCTGATACATTAATGTCTATTAAGGGTTACTAACAAGTTTTGTCACATTTTAGTACTTTTGTTGATCTCTGAAAGTTCTCGAATAATTTTATATAAACCTTGCAAATGTGTATGGGTTATGTTTAAATAATAACATATAGATTATGTATATATTTATGATAAAAGTATGTCTGTAGCCCGTGATTCCATCCAATCCAAATAAAAAACTCTTCATCAGCAGCTTATGTGTTCATTCAGATTCTATATGCCATTCATCGAGATACGTTGAGATATTCTGAAGATACCTTTAAACATCCATCCATCCATCTAGATATTGGTAAAGGAAAATATCGTGATGCTGCACATATCTGTGAAGTAAGTCAAAGATATGTGTGAAGTCAACATGTACTTTGTCAGCGTTGATTATGGTCTAGTCACCAGCTTTGGGTAGGAGAGACCCTCAGTGAGGATTAATAGTGAGCGTATGATAGTTATCAGGGGATCATAAACTATAAGCGTATAACTCCCTTCAGTTACACGCATGACGTGTTTCGTTATTAAGTAATTAAATTGTAATTGCCTTCAACTGGGGGGTTCGAACCCTGACTACGACTCTAATTAACTATTTAACTGTTATGACGCAATTTATGCTCTCCTAGTAATATTGAAGAAATTATTTTGTAATTTAGTTTTTATTAATTCCCTTTTCCTTGTGTAGTCTCAGCACTCTTCCGTACTAAGATTTTTTTTTCTATAAGATAAGGGACAAACGAAGAGAAACACCCGAGGTTCATAACCGACCATAGACATCTTTTTATACCAAAGTTTACTTTCACACAATCCATATCCATAAGAGCCTGTGGTGGAGCGTCGGTGGCGTGGGTTAAGCATTTGTAAACAGGTCCTGGATTCAAATCCCGCCATGTACCAATTTTTCGATATACATATGTACATTTATCAGACGTTCTCAGTTTAAAGAAAACATCGTGATGCACATATTTGCGATGAAATTCAAAGATATATGTGATGTTAACCCGCACTGGGTCTGAGTTGACTATGGTCTAGTCACCTAACTTAGGGTAGGCTCCGAGCCCCTCAGTGGGGACGCATACTGATATCCATACGTACTCTCTTTATTCTTCCTATATCTTTGTAGGAATTACTTTTGTATTCGGTTTCGTAGACTTCATGGTGCCATAATAAAAAGTATGTCGTTATATTTCTATTTCATTTGTTCTGCGTAACATGGTTTATGCATTAACCAAGTTGAGTGAATTCTCCTATAATACAATAACTCTAGTTATATGTTATACTAGCTTTCGCCCGCGGCTCCGTCCGCATGGATTGAAAAAAAAACTTAGTTCCCGGCAATAATTCGAATTATTCTCACCTTTTAAACCTGCTCTAGACCTCCACGAATATTTCAATGCCAAGATAAGATGCCGTTTAGTTGTTCTCGAGTTCTAGCGAGACTAACGAACAGCGATTGATTTTTATGTATATATACTAGCGGACCCGACAGACGTTGTCCTGTCTACACGTCTTTAATTTGAATAAATTTATATGAAGTTAATATTTGATGAAAATTGTGAATCTAAACCATTCCCAGAACCCCCCCTTGAACACACACAAAAAAAATCATCAAAATCGGTCCAGTCGTTTGAGAGAAGTTCAGTGACATACACACTCACAGAAGAATTATATATATAAAGATATAGATGTATAATCTGTTTAGTATAGGCTACAATTTATCTGGAAAAATAAACGGTTTGGGAGTCTTTATTTTAGATTTTGAC